GGTCAGCAATTTCACCTGCCTTGAAAGGTGCTGTTAGTGTGCAGCAATATTCCAGCCTAGATAGAACAAGTGACCTGAAGAGTGTCATCATGGGCTTGGCATCCCTCGTTTTGAAGGTTCTCATTATCCATCCTGTCATTTTTCTAGCAGATGCGATCGATACAATGTTATGGTCCTTGAAGGTGAGATCCTCCGACATGATCACTCCCAGGTCTTTGACGTTGGTGTTTCGCTCTATTTTGTGGCCAGAATTTTTTTTTTTTGTACTCTGATGAAGATTTAATTTCCTCGTGTTTACCATATCTGAGTAATTGAAATTTCTCATCGTTGAACTTCATATTGTTTTCTGCAGCCCACTGAAAGATTTGGTTGATGTCCGCCTGGAGCCTTGCAGTGTCTGCAATGGAAGACACTGTCATGCAGATTCGGGTGTCATCTGCAAAGGAAGACACGGTGCTGTGGCTGACATCCTTGTCTATGTCAGATATGAGGATGAGGAACAAGATGGGAGCGAGTACTGTGCCTTGTGGAACAGAGCTTTTCACCGTGCCTGCCTCGGACTTTACTCTGTTGACTACTACTCTCTGTGTTCTGTTAGTGAGGAAATTATAGATCCATCGACCGACTTTTCCTGTTATTCCTTTAGCACGCATTTTGTGCGCTATTACGCCATGGTCACACTTGTCGAAGGCTTTTGCAAAGTCTGCATTCTTTTTGTCTTCTAGTGCATCTAGGACCTTGTCGTAGTGATCCAATAGTTGAGACAGACAGGAGCGACCTGTTCTAAACCCATGTTGCCCTGGGTTGTGTAACTGATGGGTTTCTAGATGAGTGGTGATCTTGCTTCTTAGGACTCTTTCAAAGATTTTTATGATATGGGATGTTAGTGCTATCGGTCTGTAGTTCTTTGCTGTTGCTTTACTGCCCCCTTTGTGGAGTGGGGCTATGTCTGTTGTTTTTAGTAACTGTGGGACGACCCCCGTGTCCATGCTCCCTCTCCATAGGATGGTAAAGGCTCGTGATAAGGGGCTTCTTGCAGCTCTTGATGAACACGGAGTTCCATGAGTCTGGCCCTGGGGCAGAGTGCATGGACATGTCATTTATCGCCTGTTCGAAGTCATTTGGTGTCAGGATAACATCAGATAGGCTTGTGTTAACCAAATTCTGTGGCTCTCTCATAAAAAAATTATTTTGATCTTCGACTCTCAGTCTGGTTAGTGGCTTGCTAAAAACTGAGTCATATTGGGACTTGAGTAGCTCACTCATTTCCTTGCTGTCATCTGTGTAGGACCCATCTTGTTTAAGTAAGGGCCCAATACTGGACGTTGTTCTCGACTTTGATTTGGCACAGGAGAAGAAATACTTTGGGTTTCTTTCGATTTCATTTATGGCTTTTAGTTCTTCCCGCGATTCCTGACTCCTATAAGATTCCTTTAGCTTAAGTTCGATGTTTGCTATTTCTCTGACCAGTGTCTCCCTACTCATTTCAGATAGATTGACCTCTTTTAGCCGCTCTGTTATTCTTTTCCGTCGCCTGTAAAGAGAGCGCCTGTCTCTTTCTATTTTACATCTACTCCTCCTTTTTCTTAGTTACTTTCAATCCTAAAACTAATCAAAATCATCTGAATTTCAGTAGTATGTCTTCAGTTCTATCAAATGACACCAAGAAACAGCCGATAAAAACTTACAAACCGTCCGATAAAACACCTCAAAGTCGCTGTGTTAAACCATATGCACGGCCACCTAATACTAATGCAGGAACAATAATTCTGGAACATTAATGCTGGAACATTAATGCTGGAACATTAATGCTGGAACATTAATGCTGGAACATTAATGTAACCGCTCATTGTCACTGCATCATGCAGCATCCTGTGTGGTGCTGTGAGTGCTGTTCTGTTTTGTTTAGAAAAGTCGCTTCAGCAGCGGGAAGAATGCAAGTTGATCTTGCAGAGCCATGTACATGCACTTGTAGAGAATCAAGTACATGCACTCGTAGAGAATCAAGTACATGCACTCGTAGAGAATCAAGTACATGCGCTCAAGGAGAATCCATTACATACACTGGTAGATAATCAAGTACATGCACTCACACAGAATCAAGTAGATGGAATTACCATCCTCCGTAAAAAAAAAAAAAAAAAAAACTTCAGGTTTAACATAATTTCTGATCCATCATTATTATAGAGAGGGGGAAACCGCTAAACACTCACGGTACTCTTGACTTAGCATGGTAAAATGATCATTTGACATGAAATTATATAAAATACCGACACAATGCATCAGGACCTAACATAATGCGTTCCTTTATCGACAACCTTTTGCCCTACACAGTGAACCTTATCATGTTACATAGGGATCTATTAATCAATCGACTGCATGTGTTGAATAAAACGTGAGCAAGACACGTTGCGAGAGATGGTACTGAGAGTACACCGGGTGTGTACTGCACCTTGTGTCAACACCGTGTTGCACATTTTGTGTCTCTCTCTCAAGAGAGAGAAAGTTTAGATGAACGTCTTTGGGAGAAAATACAAACACAGAGGGCCATGACGAGGTAATCACTACTTCAGGGGAGAGTTCCTATAGAGTGTGTTGACCGTGTTTAGCCAACTCTGCTGAGGAGAAAACTGCAGGTGGGCGCTGTGTACCCCAACCCAGCTAGGAAATGTTTTTCACTACATAGAATCTTGCCAGTCACTGCTGCGACTTCAACATTTTTTTTTGTTTTTAAGTAGTGTCACCCCACACCACCGGTGATCTTCGTGTGGGGGAATATTCAGTGATCCTCGTGTGGGGGGAATATTGTGGGGTAGATGATACCTTGTGGGACTACAAGTAGATTATTATAATTATTATTATATTATTATTATTCCTGCATTCATGGGCGGAGCGCTAAAGCCGTAGGAGCCATACAGCTCCCTGGGGGGAGAGAGACAATCAGATTCGTTCCAAGAAATTTCAAGTTTGGTCCAGTTACTTGGATCAAAGGCCCATCACCGACGCCATGGAACCTTCCCTCGTGGTCATAATTCAGTGATCATGTCTAACCTCTGTCAGTATGTCTGTCTGTTTCTCTCCACGATATTACTTACCTTTCATATACTTCAATCTCATTGCATAGATAATCATTAACTAAATGCAACAAGTGAATGAAATATAAAAAAGTCAATTATCTTCATATTACAACAGCAAACACTTGTCATTTATTGAGTAACGAACTCGTGAAGCAGCAGTTTTATTCATCTAGCTGGTGATTAGTTAGTAAAAATGATTATTTTTTGAAGGAATGGACCGGTAAGCCAGCGATGACCAAAACTCCAGCTGCAGGTCACCATATGACTAAGACCCGCGTCAGTAAATTCTTGTACTGTTTCCTAACAAACCTCACCTGACATAACCTATGTGGTGCAGAGTGTGGATACAATTTTAAGAGCTCAGATATCTTGTCATTAAGAATGTATTTGTTTGTCATTTTTTGTAGGATTCGTTTGAAAATGCCACGAAAGAGTTGGATTGTTAACTCATTAAGACATGTGTAATAAAGTTGGTAGAATTACCGACAATATGTAAAGTAAAAGGACACAAGTGCAACTAATGTGACATTTATTGGGGCAACGTTTCGCTCTCCAGGAGCTTTATCAAGCCATTAAAGCTTGATAAAGCTCCTGGAGAGCGAAACGTTGCCCCAATAAATGTCACATTAGTTGCACTTGTGTCCTTTTACTTTACAAGTCATGTGTGTGATCCTTGTTTCTGCCCATACACTTGACGCTTCATGTAACTAAATTTCTTCATAAAGACTGTACTGCCGAAGATACAGCCTAGCATTAACACTGTCTTGCAGGTTACTGATCATATTACTTTCTTTATTGACACTTTTCACTCCTCACATTTCGTTAGGATGGGCAGTGGATCTGGTAGTTCCTATCTGCACTGTTTTACTTCCTTCAATTCGTTTACTGGATCTCTTCCACCAATGATTTTTCAGACTCTTGATTTAGAAATTATAATTACATTGCATATCCTCTATTTTTAATCCGTGGGGAAATGCACAAAAGTTTAACTTTAATCTCTTTTCAATATAATTTTTTTAGCATATCTGGCTTCAAACACAAGCATGTTGTTATATTCAAATCTCAGGCTGTAAAGAGCAAGTAATGAGGATAAGGAGTCAAGAGACAATTAAACTGTCTGTGGTTGTAGCTTCTCCAAGCTTGAGAGCATCTAGAATGGCTCAGTCTTTAGTGTGAATGATTCGTGAGAAAGCCCACCCAGGGAACGATCAGGGACTAAATTGTCATCCCATTTGTCAGCCAGGTGCTTAACCCTCATTAGCTATCATCATCATTATTAGCTGCCATCGTCATCATTAGCTGTCTTCATCATCATTAGCTGCCATCACGATCACTGTTAGTCAACATCGATCAGTCTTTTTTCATTTATCAACAATATCAATAAACATCAATAATCCTCCTTTTCATCATTACTTTATGGTTATCATTATTAGTATTAGGAAGACGTCGTCACTTACTCACGAAATCGTAAAACATGATTGCAAACACGGAAAGGGTAGGATTTTGAACCTGTGACCTATACGTTTCAGGACACACCTGCCATAGGTTCAACTCCCACCCGTTCCGTGATTAGTATTAGGAAGACTTCGATTACTTGCTGCTGCTGCTGCTGTTATTACCGCATTTATTATGTTTAACTTCCATCAAGACATACCAAGATTCGACTGTATGTCTTATAGTTGCAACTTCCCTATAAGCTGTGAACTCTCTGACTACTGTAAAAGCACAACTCACGGGTGACAGACAAAAATCTAAAGAAAATCTGTTTAGAGCGCTTTTCAAAGGGAACCAGAAGCGATAACGGCAAAGCCTCAACAGGTTCCCGCCACATCTGTCGGGCCTAAGGGATGGGGGCGGAGAAAGCCCGCGAATCGCGGGGGAAGAAAGCTATATAAGGCGGGACTGCGGTGCGTCTCGCGTCAGTGTAGCAGTGGAGGAAGCGGTAGTGATGTCTGGGGTTACACGATGTCTGCTGCTTACTGCAGCCGTAGCTGCCGCCATGCCTCCGAGTGGTAAGTTGTGCTTGATTCTCGTCCGGGCTGAGGGGACCGAGGGAAGACAAGCGTCAAGAGAGGGTTTTCTGTACCCTCGATGAAGGGAAACGCAGCCATCGTGTCTCTAAAGAGATGAAACAGTGCCACTGTGTCTGGAATGAGGGAAACAGTGCCACTGTCTGGGATGAGCGGAAAGTGCCACTGTCTGGGATGAGGGAAAACGGTACCACTGCCTGGTATGAGGGGAAACAGTGCTACTGTGTCTGGGACTAGGGGAAATAGTGTCACTGTGATTTGAGGGAGGAGGAAAGAGTGCCATACATTTGTGCCAAGATGAGGGATAACAGTGCCGCGCGAAGCTGTGTTTAAGATTGGGAAAAGTGACATCCAATGTCTGGAATGAGGGGAAACAGTGCCACCCTCTGAGATAAGGGAAACAATACCATAAGTATCAGGGATGAGGTAAACAGTTCCACTCAGTGCTTGGGATAAGGGAAACAGTGCCATTCTCAGTGTCTGAAATGGGGGAAACAGTGCCAAATGAATCTATCTCAGTGTCGCCAGTGTTTAGAAAGTTTCCATCATACTTAAGGAAGAAAAGACAAATGAGTGTCGGGGTGAGCTTGAAGGACCTGACTGTCTGTGGTAACCTTCAAGTGATACCGTTGAAGACATTGTACCTGTGGTGCAGGTAGCTAGGATCACGTGTGGTACAGTTAGCTAGGAGCAGCTGTGGTATAGTTAGCTAGGATTACCTGTGGTACAGTTAGGATCACCTGTGGTACAGGTAACTAGGATCACCTGTGGAGCAGGTAGCTAGGATCGCCTGTGGTACAGTTAGCTAGGATCACCTGTGGTGCAGGTAGCTAGGATCACCTGTGGTGCAGTTAGCTAGGATCACCTGTGATGCAAGTAGCTAGGATCACCTGTGACACAGTTAGCTAGGATCACCTGTGGTGCAGGTAGCTAGGATCACCTATGGTACAGTTAGCTAGGATCACCTGTGGTGCAGGTAGCTAGGATCACCTGTGGCACAGTTAGCTAGGATCACCTGTGGCACAGTTAGCTAGGATCACCTGTGGCACAGTTAGCTAGGATCACCTGTGGTACAGTTAGCTAGGATCACCTGTAGCACAGTTAGCTAGGATCACCTGTGGCCAGTTAGCTAGGATCACCTGTGGCACAGTTAGCTAGGATCACCTGTGGTACAGTTAGCTAGGATCACCTGTGGCACAGTTAGCTAGGATCACCTGTGGCACAGTTAGCTAGGATCACCTGTGGCACAGTTAGCTAGGATCACCTGTGGTACAGTTAGCTAGGATCACCTGTGGTACAGTTAGCTAGAATCACCTGTTGTGCAGTTAGCTAAGATCACCTGTGGTGCAAGTGACTGTTTACTTATTGAGTAAGAGACATGTTTAACTTTGGTTCAGGTGACTGCGTATAATTGGAGTAGGTGACTGCTCACTCGTGGATCAGTGGACTGTTCACCTATGGACCAGGGGACTGTGTTGGCCTATGGACCAGGGGACTGTGTTTGCCTATGTACCATTGGACTGTTTGCCTATGGACCAGGGACTGTGTTTGCCTATGGACCAGGGGACTGTGTTTGCTTATGGACCAGGGGACTGTGTTTGCCTATGGACCATGGAACTGTGTTTACCTCAACTTCGTCCTGCCGACAATAGTGACGAAAAGCCACTTCGCCAAACAAGTTTTATTGAGACAACGTCTCGATCTGTTAAAATCTTTTATGAAGTTAGTTCTCTGACTGGAGCATAGCTGATTTTTTTATTATTATTATATTTTGGCAGTGCTGTTTAACCTTTTTTTTACACTGGTTTGTTAATACAGTTTTTTAAGAATCCTCGGATAAAGTGCTCCATATTTTGGTGACTTTATTTAAATGGATTTTTTACGTGTAAGCGTATAGGTGGGATTCCAGAAAGGCTTTTTTTTCACGTGTTGCTCTATTGTAGCTTCTAAGAAGAGATTTAGATCTAGGTTAATACAAGTAATCTGTATCCTAACAATGTGGAGTGGACGCAGAAATGCGTATTGTTTGTATTAGCGAGGGAAGTGAGGTATTTTTCTGGATCATAAGTGATTGCCCTAATGGCATCCTTTGGTTATGATTGATATTAGTTTGTTGATGTAGATCTCCTAATAAGATGCGGGTAGATTAGTACAGCACGAACAGTGGTAATAATCTCCATGCACATATACCGTGAGTGAGATGATGATATAATCGTGTGTGGCGCAGTGTGAGTAACGACAGGAAGATTATAATGCTGGACAAAAGTACTAGGGCAGATTGATACTGAGCCAGAACAAGGAAAACGCCTGATACAAAATACCAGATGCTGGATTACGTGTGAATGTGGAACACGAGAAGTTATTAGAACTGCCAAGATGTGATTAGATTTGTCAGTGTTATTGGACGCGAGTGAACATGCTGTAACGAACTAAACGTATAGAAATCTAATTAGACTTTTCAAGTGTCAAGTAGACGTTTAGTTATGCAGTTATACATGACTTAAATATTACCTAGAGTGTCGAAGCGTCAGTACACATGTTTGGTATCCTGACGTCCCCCAAAGTGGACTATGGGAGCCAAAACAAAGGGAAGAGAGAGGGTGATGTTTCAATTGATGTTTTAATAAAGGGTGAGTAGTGAAGTATATTCTTAAAGGGGTTTGAAGGTGTTACTGAAAACATTTGTGAGTAAAGTGCCGTTGATAAAGGGAGGACGAGACGTCACAAAGAAAAGCGAAGTTCTTGCAGTCGTGGTGTGAGGAATTTAGCTGATGCAAAGGATGGCAGGAATGAAGGTTGACTTGCAACAGCAAGAGAGCAGGGACAGGATACATTATTATTATTATTATTAATTTTATTGTTTATTATTATTATTATTGTTAATAATTTATTGTTTTTTTATTATTATTATTATTATTATTATTATTATTATTATTATTATTATTATTATTATTATTATTATTATTATTATTATTATTGTTATATGGGCGCATAAACCTTGGTTTGAACTTAGAAAAAAACGAGGTTGGTTGAATGGATGAAGCAGGACAGGCGGAATCAACTCTGAGACCAGCGAGTCTCTAGAGCGTTACTGACAGCAGTAGTTACTGACATCTGTAGGTGCTGACAGTGAGCATGAAGCACGAGAGGTGTCCAGGAAGTAGCGTGTCGAGATGGAGCAGCAGAAAGTTGTGAGTCACGGGAGGTGACTCCCTGCCAAGGGGTGGAGGTGGCCGGTCCTTGGACCCCAGCGAACCACACACGGTCCTTCCATGGTCCTAAAGAGAGCGGTGCAGGAGGACGTGTTGACATCAGACCTCACGAGAAAGCGTACCAGGAAATGGAGCAACACACACACAACACTAAAGGAAGCAATGGTAAAAATATTACTATGTTATCTTCAAGTTTTAATTAAGTGTGGATCGGCAGATCAAAAATCTCCAGGTGGCGAGCATCATGTGAGCTGCGTCAGGAAGCATTTATCCTGTTTCCTGACGGACACAACACCACCAGGCAGACAGCAGGTATTAACACTGATAGCTAACACAGTGTGTTAGCTATCAGTGTTAATAACTGTGTTATAACAAGTTTTAGTAAAATATGATGCTTAATTATATAGCCTATATTCCATATCATTTATATAGTCCATATCGCCTATTAACAACTAAATAGCCTATACGAAAAGTACCGGTTAATAAGCCTATATCAGGAGCATCACAGGTGACAGAGGTGGTACTCGGCAGGTTACAGAGGTGAGAGAAGGGCTACGATATGATCAAAGTGCACAAAAGGATAAAATTAAAAATAAAGGGGGATATAAATAACTCGCTGAAAATACCCAACCAAGACAGGACTCGCAGCATTGGATTCAAGTTGAACAAATTTAGATTTAGAAAGGATAGTGGAGAGTACTGGCTTGGCAATAGGGTTGTGGATAAGTGGAATAAATTCCCGAGAAGTGTCATTGAAGTCAAAACCTTGGATATCTTTAAAAATAAGTTGAGCTGGTATTATAAACGGATGTGAGCGGGTATAATTTGGATATGCCTAGCATAGGCCGGTAGGCCTCCAGCAAAGCACATTCTTACGTATTCTTGTGAGAAAGATAACAGAGATGAGAGACAGGTAGTGAGAGACACGGGACAGAGGCGCCAGACAGGAGGAGTGAGACAAATGTGTGAAAGTTAGAGGTCAGTGTTGCCGTCCAGGAGAGACACACACAACACTTTCTCGCCTGAGTACACAATGGCAACACTGGCATGGTTCGCGAGCTCGCGCGCAGGTGTACGATCACTTGCTCTTGTGTTCACTGGAGCGACCACGTGTGTACTCGCGTGTTCACTGGTGATGTTTCTCCAGCCTCATCACTAATATAAGCGCGCAGGCATTATAATTTGCATAACATGTAACTTTCTGCGCCGTTCAGACGCGTTGCTTCGATCAGGTGAATACAGTTTGAAGAGTACTCGCATACACACAGATTACACACGGCCAAACACTGACGCAAGAAAGTGTGACGCAAGCACAAACAGCGGTTATATACGCGTGTATTGTTTAACCTAACTTTCTAACACTTTTTTAAGATGAATAGAGAGTTTTAGAGTTCCTGGTGAGTCCATCACGAGAGAGAGAGAGAGAGAGAGAGAGAGAGAGAGAGAGAGAGAGAGAGAGAGAGAGAGAGAGAGAACGCCGCAGAATCATTACGTTCTTACACCACAAGTGATGAACGTTCAGAGTTAGATTGCTTGAGTTTCTTCTATTTCGGCTACTTCGTTGCCAAACGAAAACATGCATCCTTAAAAGTCACTCTTTAAAACGTACATCCTTAAAACGTTCCCCTTTAAAACGTATATCCTTAAAACGTCCCCCTTTAAGACGTAGATCCTTAGAAGGTCCCTCTTTAAAACGTGCGTCTTTAAACGTCTCTCTTTAAAAGTTACAACCTTAAAAACCTTTCACGGTAGTTTTTTTTTTAAATGCAT